AGAGCAGGCAGAAGGACCAAAGCACACTGCTGAGGGGAGCAGCAGGCGGCAGGAGAGGTCTGCGCGCCATGTGGGACCCTCCTCCGGTGGTCGGGGAGCAGCTGGGGATTGAACCGGCGCTGCAGAGGCTGCGGGCAGCTTCGCAACCCAGCGCTCAACCACTGCGCCACCGGGGAGGCCTCCTAACAGCCTCTTGACTACTTTTCTATTTTAATTTTCACAAGTGTCTGTTAGTTCTGATTATGATTGCTTTCTCATTCAAGAGCTATTCACAAAACTATGAACTTAGATGTAATACTCTTATTTCCTCATGGACTTTGGAAAAAAACTTGTTTCCACTTTTCTCCCTTGTCACGATGAAAAGTCTCCAACTTTTAGGTGGCTACCCTGGAACACTGAATTGTTGTATTAATAATGAACCTCAAAGCTGAGTCACCAATGTCTTTTTCAGTATATAGAGTGGGTGATTTGGAGGACAAGCATCTTAGGGTTCTCTTAAACCATGGCTGGTTTAAGGTGAGGAAGGAAACCTCAGAGGAGGCTTCATCAGGAGAGTCATGCAAACTCTTCTCTCTAGCTTCTGATTCTGACCTTTGTTTTGCCATGGGAGAGGAACTGGGAGCTTGGATTCTCAGTTTTATGTATACCAGCTCTAGAAATGCCTTCCACAGTGGAGATTACCTGAGTTTTCTCCCTCCTCTGAACTGGCTGCCCCTGATGGAAGAACAGTGCTGGTTGCTAATATCTATGTCTCTATATTTATATCTACATTTACATCTATATCTACACGTAGATACATGTATCTTTTTTAATTGAAGTAGTTTTGCATTATATAATGGGGACTGTTGGACGTCAGCCACTTGAGGAGTAATTTCCAGAAGTACTGATCTCATCTCCATGATCTCATCTCTCTGACCAGTTTTACAATAACTCATACTTTGGAACTGCACTTGATGTGATTTGGGGGCTTGGAAGCACAGGTCTTCTCCTCCAGGCAGGTCCTTCTTCTCACAGAAGTACCTTCTGTGGTGATGGAGGGCCAGAACCTTCCCTTCCCTTCCTATCGCCTCCCCCCTTCCTCTCCTTTTCTCCCTTTCCCTTTCCCTTTTTTCTTTTCCTCCTCCCCTCTGTCAGATTGAGTTCACAGTTAAACTCTGCTATCTGGTGAATATAGTCCTGAATTGGAGATTGAGGGAGACTGTCTTGGATGCTTTCATTAATTTTCTTTATGAACATTAGAAAATGATTCTACTTCCTTGTGATCCCTAACTTACTCTAAAAAAGGAAGAGATTATACCTTGTGTTGTGTTTTAGGTTATTTGAAAACTAAAACATCTTAAAGTTGTCTTTAAGGTAGTCTTAATAATGCCTATCATTTAATTGTTTTCATTCTTACTTGTTTAAATTTTTGAATATGTAGAACATTAGCCTGCTTCCAAAAGTCAAACTTATGCAAAGAGGTACTCTCCCCCTCATATCTATTCCACCTACTTGCTTAATTATTTCCTATTTTTCATTTTTCTTTCTCTAAAAATTAACATATACATAAATGTTTTATTACCTTTTTCTCTTACACAAAAGGTAATATATTACATTGTGGGGTTCCTGGATCCAGTTTCCACTAGGCAGGTGGGTGCTGAGGCCCCCCTACAGCAACAGGTAATACTTGGATACTAACAGGGTGTTCAAGATTCTGGACTTATCTCTTCAGAGATGGCATTAGGTTCCACAGAGCAAGGGCTCAGTCCACCAGGACCACCCACCACTTCAGATACTGCCTGCAAGCTCCAGGCAGGTCCCTGCTTCTAACTGACTGAATGACTATAAATCAGAGGTTCAGAGCTCCCAGGTCCTCACTTGGCATGCCATTCTTTCCCAAATCTTACTGTGTTCACCAAGTAGGAAGCTCTCTGAAGCCTTTTCCTCTTGGCCTTTTATGGAGGTTTCATTACATTGGCAAAAGTGGTTAAGTCACTGGCCATTGCCAATTGACTTCAACCTCTAGCCCAATTCCTTTCCCTGGAGGTCTGTGGGTTGGACTGAAAGTTCCATCTTTTATTCTTCATTGGTTTCTCTGGCAATCAGCATCCCTTTCCCCAGAACTTACCTTCATTAACATAGCAAGAGACATCTTTAACACACTCTATATCCAGGAAATTACTCCATAGCAGCTCAGAAAAAAAAAAAATTCCTCATTCTTTTTTACAGCTGTATAGTACTCTACTATGTATACACACTACATTTTATTCAACCTCTCCAATATGGGGGCATTTAGGTAATTTTTCAACATTTTTATGATTACAAGTAATGCTGCCATAAATAATCTTCTGCATATGCATTTTTGTATTGTTGGATGCGTAGCTTCAATACTTACCAACTGCATGTCCTTGTCCAACATCTCCAAAAACAACTTCACTTGCACATGGTATGTTCCCAGCTCCAGTTTCATCATCTCTAATAAGGGGATAATCATAGCAACTACATCATAGGGTGTTTGTGAGAATTAGTTGGGGTTAATAACTGCAAAGGGCTTGGAACAGTTACTGACACGGTCAGTGTTGGATAAAGGTCAACCGTTAATTGCTCTATTATAGTATATCACTTTCAAATGAAAAGATTACAACCATTCCTCAAATTAAGCACAATTATCTCATCACTTAAATGTTGTTTATATAGATCACCAATTTTTGGAAAATTTGGTCTTACTGTAGCTTAAATAAGATACTCACATACGGGGTTTCTTGTGAAAAGGTTCAAGGAGAAAAGTTTGAGACTCGGCAAGAGCAGATTAACTATAATTTAAAACTATTTATGCTCATATTTTGTTAGTGGAATATGAATATAGTTATTGAAGCTTCTAAAATATGGTATTCATAAGTAAAACCTTTTTTATTGCTAGAGTTTAGTAGAGATTGAACTCAACATGTTGCTAATGACTGTGGTCTCCAGGCTCTCTGGGGCTGTCCAAGGCTCGGCCCAAGATCTTACCTGCCTGCAGTGGAAATCTGGAATTTTTAGGGAGGATTTCTGCTTATCAGAGAAAGACTGATAATATCTTGAGATGAAAATGTTTTTGGTGCCTACTTATGCTTGCATTTTAATGATAAATTACTGCTATTTTAATTCATTTCCAGCAAGATAGTTTCTTACAGGTTATTTGGTGAATCTTTTAGTGTTTGGTCTGTGATTTCTTATAGTCACTGGTTTTGAGATCTTACATGCATTGCTTTGCAAATATGAAACATATGCCTCTTATTTGCAGCTAATTGTTTGCAACCATTTATTTGCAAATATGAACCATCTGCTTTTTAAATCAGATACATGATGCTAACCCCCTCCCAATTTACTTCTCAACTGAGATTTTATTGCCACCACTAAGTTTTTTTTGAATGAGAACTCAAAATTAATGTAGTGGACAGACTATTTAGACTTTTGGTTTATCTAATGGCCAAAACATTTTTGCCATTGTCTTAGATTATTTAGCAACGCTTTCCCCTACCTCCAATTGCTGTTCCAAGAATAGGAAGTATTTTTAATTTTGTTTTAGTCTTGAACTTTGATTATGATACTCTAAATAGTATTTTTTTTTTTTAATGTAACGATCTTACATACTGAGTGATGAAATCACTGTTGTGAGGGCCTCCCTGGTTAGGGGTTAAGCTATGAAGCAATCTGTAGCCTCTGCAGCATGAGTTCGATCCCCAGCCGGCCAGAGAGAAACCCAAATGGCTAAGCAGACTTCTCCTGTCTCACCCACTGCTCCCCTCAGCAGTGTGTTTCAGTCAGTCTGCCTGTTCTGTTCCCCACTCTGTCTCTGGTGAATCCTCTCACCCCCCGCACCACTAGCCTGTACCCAGCTCTTGTATGCATAAATAAATAAATCTTAAAAAAAAAAAAGAAATCACTGTGGTGAAACTACAGAGTTAAATAAAATTCTGCCTTTAATTTGCTTGCTTTTGAATGGTAGAATTGTCTATGTTACAGTACTCTTCTGAATTTACTTTTATTTAATTTGGGAATGTCATTGTTCTTATTTTACACATAGGGCAGGCCCGATATTGAACGGGTTGCCTGGATGTGGGTCCTCACCTGCGCGCTTACAAGGGACTTATTAATACTCCACTACAGGCATACACAAAAGGTTAATAAAAGGTTTATTTACAAGGGAAAAGGAAATAAGGAAAATGTACAACTCAGGGATAAAATAGGGAGATAAAGTCTTTAATGCGTCCTACCCGATCTGCCGACCTGGAAACCCAAAAAGCACTCTCCGAGCTGGCCAGACGCTGCGAGCTGGCAGAGAGTCAAAATGGGGGACCCCTCCAAAGCCCACGTGTCTGGCTTTATACCAACCTGGCTGCTTAACCCCACCCTCAGGTCCCAGCCTCCTTCCCTTTGGTGGTGATGGGATTTGGAGTTTCCAGTGTCTTTGGCTTTGGCCTGGGGTGGGGGTGGAGTCCACGAAGCCTGTATAAAATTAGCTTTAGGACAGCCTTTTCCCCCTAACAATTCTACTTGAAAAGTCCTGGTATTTTAAATCTCCCATGATATTTAATATAGAAAAGTATTTAATATTATTTTTTGATTTGGTGTCTTCTTTCCTTTTCTCTACCCCTTGTTCCTTAGTATGATGTCATGATTTATTTATTTATTTATTTTTATTTTTTTAAAAGATTTATTTATTTATTCATATAAGCAATGGGTACAGTCAGAAGCGTGGGAGGGCGAGAGAATTCACCAGAGCCAGAGCGGGGAGCAGAGCAGGCAGAAGGACCGAAGTACACTGCTGAGGGGAGCAGCGGGCGGCAGGAGAGGGCTGCGCACCATGTGGGACCCTCGCCCGGCGGCCGGGGATCGAACTGGAGCTGCAGAGGCTGCGGGCAGTTTCGCAACCCAGCGCTCAACCGCTGTGCCACCGGGGAGGCCCATGATGTCATGATTTAAAACTCATTCAGTGCAAGTAGGTAACATGGATTACTTTTCTATTTTCCTGTCCTCAGGTTACCAGAGAGAACTGCTCTATCAGAGAGATGATGGCTCTTTCAGTGCTTTTGGGAATAATGACCCCTCTGGGAGCACTTGGTAAGTGTTTCTGCTATCAGAACAAACACATGTCATGGAATAGGCCCTCACTAGGTCATCATGGCCACGGAACTGAAAATAATTCTATAAATAGACTCAGAGTCTGCTTTTTCCATAATCTGGTTTTAAAAGAGGTTCTCCTTTTTTAAATGTAATCACAAAACACTAGCAAATCAAATGTTTTTATTTTTCAAAGAAAAGACATAAATCTGCTTTTGTTTGGAGAGAAAGCAGCAATAAAAATACCTATGATGATCTTGTGGCTGGCAAGAAAAATTGTTAGAAATATTGGGTGATTGTGACATAGTTCTTTCTTTAATCTGACATGATCAACACAAATTTTGTGTTAGTACAGTTAATGACGTTTTTGTAAAGTTATTTTTTTGTGAAGAATAGTGATGGAATTAGGTAACAAGTGTTCAGTTTCCTCCACAATTTAATCTGTGTGATTGATTGGTTTTAGATGATGAATTTCTCTCCTTGTACTAAGAGTACTACTCCTTGTACTGTATATATTGAGAAAAAGATTGACTAATTGTATCTGAAGGGTTAGACCAAGCATGCCTTGGTAACAACTACCACATGGCAACAGTTTGTTAACAAAGGCTTCTCATATTGCTCATGCTGCATTTCCACTGTGGGTCAGCAGAGGGCTCTGCAGTCTTTGCTTCAGCTGCCACTATCTCCCTAGTCTTGGCCTAGCCTGAGAAGAGAAGTCTGGTTGTAGCTAGCACTGGCAATTAGATGCTTCAGCCTGGGTGTAACATTTCTTCTTACTTTATTATTTTCAGCGCTAGTTACATGGCCCTGCCTAACTCTGTATACTCAGAGTTATAGAGAACTGGGCATTATTGAATATTAGTCATGATTATTGCAACAATTTTTTTTAATAGGATGAACCAGATCTGCTTCATATTTTCTTTTGGCATGAGTCAGGATGTAGATCCATAAATAGAAAATTTTCAATGTTTTATTGCTTAATATTTTTTTCACTTCAATATTTAGTGTTCTGTGTCAGAGATCGGCAGGCTTTTTAGTAAAGGCTCAGGCAGTAAATATTTTAGACATTGAGAGCTGTATAGAGTATCACATATTCTCCCCTCCTACTCCCTTTCTCCTTCTTCCCGTGCCCCCCCCCCCACCCCTTTAAAACCATTCTTTTAGTAGGTGGGAGGAGAGTCATTTGTAAATAGACCCGGACTGTGTTTGGCCTGAGGAGCAGATTTGACCCAGAAAGATCTGGCTCACAAGCTGTTCTTTGCTGACTCCTATCCTATGAAGAGAAAATGTCCATTTCCTCCACTTAAAAGTACTGCAGTTTGATTGTTAACTACAAATACTTCATCCACAGCCTTAGGGATGAGTGAAATGTGTAATGATACCTTTTCTGGTAAATACCTAGAATAGTCCAAAGATGAATATCCTTGGATAATTTATTGAACTCTGACCATAAAATAATGATGTTGGATTGGATGACTTATAAGTTCCTTTCTAAATCTGATTTTTTGTGGGTTGACTTGAAATTTCTTGGCCACACTCAAGTGGAAACCAGATCTCCCAGCTAGGCAGAATTGTTTGTTTCCCTTCCCTCTGTGCCTTCCACCTTTCCTCCTTCCTTTCTTTCCCAAACCATTTTTCCCTCTTTCTTTCCTTTGTTCCTTCAGTGATTTTCCCTTTGGTGAATCTTCTGATGTAAAAGATGTGTCATTGTTGGTGCTTTTCTCATTTAGTGTTATTTGGGGAACTTTATAAAGTGTATTTAATGTATTTTTTCTCTTTTCACCAAGGTTGTCAGCTTTTGTTTTAAGATGTTTCATTGAAGCTGATCCGTACATAGATATTGATGAGAATGTGTTACGCAGAACATATACTTGGCTCAAAAGACACCAGAAATCCAGTGGCGAGTATTGGGAGCCAGGAAGAGTGATCCATAGTGAACTTCAAGGTGGCGCTAAAAGTCCAGTAACGCTAACAGCATATATTGTGACTTCTCTCCTGGGATATAAAAAGTATCAGGTATTTAATTTTTTTAAAAGATGTTTTTATTTTTATACAAGAGCTGGGGTATAGGCCAAAGGCACAGGAGGGTGAGAGGATTCATCAGAGACAGATCAGGGAGCAGAACAGGCAGATGGACCAAAACACACTGCTGAGGGGAGCAGCGGGGGAGACAGGAGAGGTCTGCTGTGCCATGTGGGTATCTTCCTGGCTGGCCGGGAATTGAACCGGCACTGCAGAGGCTGTGGACAGCTTCACAGCGCTGCGCTCAACCCGCTGCACCAAGGGGGTGCCCCAGGTATTTAATTTTTAATTTAATAAATGATGGATGAGAAATTACTGGAAAGGTTGGTCTTGATGAGTCAAATATATGTCTGCAAGCTTGTAAGGAGTCTTTCAGTTTTGTATCACATTCATTTTTGCTGTGCTTTTGTGGTCACATTCCACAAACAGAACAAAAATATTAACCTGCTCTTTTAGAGTAACTGAGAAGATTCTGAAAATGCTTTCTGATTTAAATATCATTGTACCTACTATTGGTAAGATAAGTCAGTGCATATTTTAGCAATGAAAAGGTTAATTTCTTGAGGGACAGAAGATTCTTCAGTATTTGGGAATATATTTTAGCAAGTGTAGGTTGTGAGGATTTATTTACTTCTAAAATATCATGGAGCAATTCCAGTGTTTGCCAATTTAGTACAGAATATACCCACATTCTAAAAATCATGTTAAAAGGTCATGAATGCCTGGATGAGAATGTGATGGAAATCTTATGCTAATGAGCTTAATTTTACCTAGTGCTGTCTCAGTGATTGATCTTTTCTGCTTAAAGCCAAATACATTTCAATGATCAAAACAGGCATTCTCTATATTAAATGTCTATTATTTTCCCAGCCCAGTACTAGATATGATAGAAAATAAAACTTTTCCCTGAATTTAGAGCTTCAACACCCGAAAATCAAGTATGAGAATATCTTTTTCAATCTATGCTCTCATCCTAGTTTATGATACTCAATGGGAGAAACACTGGCCAAAACTTTGCTTCTTATTTCCTCTAAGAAATGGCACCTACTTACTTATAAAAACTGGAAAGCAGTATGATATTCAAAATGCTTGGCATTCTTCAAATGTCAGTGATTATTGTTGATTACCATTGCCTATGACAAAATCACGTGCTTAAAGATACGGAGATTATTTTTTGCATGAATATAGTAAGGTAATTTTTGTTTACATAGATGGTAATGGCAACATTTTAAACAATATTGTTTAAAATATTACTTTGAATGGTAAAATGTTAATTTTTTTCAAGCCTAATATTGATGTGGAAGACTCTATCAGCTTCTTGGAATCTGAATTCAATAGAGGAATTTCAGACAATTATACTCTAGCTCTTATAACTTATGCACTGTCATCGGTGAGGAGTCCTAAAGCGAAGGAAGCTTTGAATTTGCTGACTGAGAGAGCAGAACAAGAAGGTAATGTATGGAGTCCATTTGAAGTTGTCAGCTTTAGGAAATATATAAATTATGTGAGAAAAATTGGTGAGCCAGATATGAAGTTGATTACCTTTTTATCTTCTGAACATAATGAAAACTGAAACACAGATGGTTAGATGGACCTGACATGGTCATGCTGCAGCTATCTCTAAGAATTTTCTAAAGGTTTTAGAGCTTTTTCTTAGATATGCTCTGTCCCGTGTCAGTTCCCTGATCCCATAGAAATGGGATCTGGCTTGGTGGCCTTGAGTGGGACCTTGGGTTTTAGGGAGACTTGGATTTAAATTCTGGCTACTACTTACCTTTATGAGGTTCAGTTTCCCCAACTGTAAAATGGGGATAACATTTAAAGTTGTTATGAGAATTATATGAGATAATATGCTGCTACATAGCCAGTATTCAACAAATATGGACTAAGATGCTAATAGAAATGCAAATGTTAAAAAGTGCTGTAAATTGTGTGTGTTTGTTTTATTTTTTTGAAATGATACTGTTTATGGACTGAAAGAGGACAAAAACTACAGATGTTGTTACTTCTCAACTGTCCACTACAGTCAGGAATCCAGAGGGGTGTGTGTGTGTGTGTGTGTGTGTGTGTTAGAGAAATGGGCATGCGTAGACAGAAATAATTTTAGGTAATTTCCGTTTATTCAAAGCTCTGTTAATTCAAGAAGGGATAACTGTAGAAAGTGTTTAAGAAACTTCTGAGACCGGAAAAAATGTATTATTTTATTAGCAATAACTTTGGCTGAATCATTAGTCCTACTGCAGTGCTAGGGACTAAGAAGATTACTGCATGGCCAGATGATAGTTATCTCACATTCCAACTAAGTGTAATCATCATCTAAGTATTTGAGAGAAGAGGAGGGAGTACCAAGTAGGATGTCCCTCTGGGTGTTAGCAGAAATCTCTGGGAAGATTGCTGAGTTTGCCAGATACTTTATTTTTTGGGTGGGGGTGGTATTAGATTTTGAACTTGTAACTCCAGCTTTCAGATAATGAAAAAAGGAGAGGTTTCTCAAAATGTAGAGCTGGTTAGTGGCAGATTTCCAGGACAGGGAAATATGTCTTAAAATATTTTGGGGATGGCTTGGTCAGATAAATTATGTACATTATCTTCTGGAATACAGTATATGTTTTCTTTTATTTGTAATTCTCTAGTCTTGAGCCAAGCATATGGAATTTCTCTTGGGTAAAGTATTTTCATCAAAACATTCTAAAATATAAGCATTAGGAAAAGGATGAAAATTTATGTAAAAATAGTTTAAAAAGTTACATGTAAGTATGCAAGTGTGTGTGGTATATGTGTTTGTGAATACACATATATTTGCTTGGCATAAATACACACATTAATATGTGTATAAATATATATAAACATATATACTGTGTGTGTATGTATATATATATATATATATATATATAATGCTAGTCAAGTAGAACTTGAACCAATATGGAAATATTTAGCGGTATAAAATGTAATTTTTCTAGAATTGGTCAGAATGTTATTAATTTTCTCTTGCAGGGGGCATGCAATACTGGGTGTCACCAGTGTCCAGACTTTCTGAATCCTGGCAGCCAAGCTCCCTGGATATTGAAATTGCCGCCTATGTGCTGCTCTCACATTTTCTGCAGTTTCAGGTTTTGGAGGGAATTCCGATTATGAGGTGGTTAAGCAGTCAAAGAAATAGCTTGGGAGGTTTTGCATCTACCCAGGTGAGACATGACCAGATGATAGTTTTTTATTTTTTTAATTTTTTCCAGTGTCATCAACTGCTGCACCACCAGGGAGGCCCAATAGTTTTTTTTTTTTTAATAAAATATTATTGATTTACCATTAATTTACAATAGGTTTTGGGGGTACATCTTTTACTTCTATACAGGTGTGTGAGCTTTACCTCATCTGCCACCAAAGTTCGAGTGCCCTTCCCACTATCGGGTTGATGCCCTTTGCCCTATCTTCCCACCCCTCATCCTCTCCCACTCTGAAAACCACTTATTTTTCACAGTCAGCTGAGGTTATTTTTGTTGTGATTTGTTAGTTCATTTGCTTTGGTTATTTATATGCCACATTTAAAAGAAACCATATGGCTATTGCCTTTCACATTCTGAGTTACTTCACTTAGCATAAGCACTTCAAGTGTCATCCATGTTGTCTCAAAGACTAGATATCATTTTTTTTTAATAATTGAGTGGTATTCCATTGAGTACACATCACACTTTCATTATCCAGTCGTCTGTTGATGGGTATTTAGGTTTCAGTGTCATAGCTTTTGTTACTAATTTGCTGTAAACATAGGGGTGCACAAACCGTTTTGAATTAGTGTTTTCAAATTCTTTGGATAAATATATAGGGAATAGCTAGGGAGAGGTGTTACTGGGTCTTAAGATATTTTCATTTTTTATATATGTTTTAAAAATTTTTATTATTTTTAATTTATATATTTTATATCATTATATATATTATATCATTGTCCATTTTTAAACAATGTTTGCTTTTTTTTCCTTTCCATTTTATATTTTTATATATTTAAGGAGTCTCTTATTTTCCATAGGGGCTGCACTGATTTACATTTCCACTCAGAGTGCATGAGAATTCTTTTTTTCATTGTCCTTTTTTATCTATGATAGCTGATATAGTGGGTGCTCACTTCCAGTCAGCATGTATTTCCTTAGTCTCTCCTGCATTCTTTTTTTTTTTTTTTTTAATAGAGGCATGTTTTATTTATTTATTTGTTTGTTTGTTTTTGTTTATACATGCACTGGGTACAGTCAGAAGCACGGGAGGGTGAGAGAATTCACCAGAGCCAGAGCGGGGAGCAGAGCAGGCAGAGGACCGAAGTACACTGCTGAGGGGAGCAGCAGGAGAGGTCTGCGCGCCATGTGGGACCCTCCTCCAGTGGCCGGGGAGCAGCTGGGGATCGAACCGGTGCCTCCGAGGCCGCGGGCAGCTTCACAACCCAGCGCTCAACCGCTGCGCCACCGGGGAGGCCCTTTTTTTTTTTTTTTTTTTTTTTTTTTTAAAGATTTATTTATTTATCTATACAAGCACTGGGTACAGTCAGAAGCGCGGGAGGGTAAGAGAATTCAGCAGAGACAGAGCGGATAGCAGAACAGGCAGTCTGATGAAGTACACTGCCAAGGTTTGCAGCAGTTGGCAGGAGAGGTGTGTGCGCCATGTGGGACCCTCCCTGGCATCCGGGGATCGAACCGGCGCTGCAGAGGCTGTGGGCAGCTTCGCAACCCAGTGCTCAGCTGCTGCGCCACTGGGGAGGCCCTCTCCTGTATTCTGTCACTGTTCTTTCAGGAGGTTCAAAGAGGAACTAGGGAAAGTTCCATTCTTAAGAAAGATGGATGACTGTATAGGGATTCCTAAATATTACAAATTTTATTCTTTGGAGACCTTGGCATAAACCTTATATATTTTATATAGATTTACTAATGTTTTTTGTTTCTCAACAGGATACTGTTGTGGCCTTGAAGGCCCTGTCTGAATTTGCAGGCTTAATGAATGCAGAAAATACAAATATACATGTGTCTGTGACTGGGCCTAGCTCACTGAGTCCTGTAAAGTTTCTGATTGGCACACAGAATCGCTTTCTCCTCCAGTCAACAGAGGTGGGACTAAAAGGGCAGTTATTTACAATTTTGTGTAGATGATTCCTTATAATGTAATACTGATTTATTTTCATTCTGTTGACTTCAACAAAGACTTGTTCCCAGAGCTCTGTAGAGAGACAGGTAGGATGGTGTGACTTTATTTGAGTTGGTGAAGTGAGGGGGGAGTAGGAACTCTGGAAAGATTTGGAAAAGGAAAAAAACATGGGAACTGTTCTATTGGGAAAGGAATGGTGCTTCTAATTGTCACAGGACCTGTGCTAGGTTTCTTTATGTGCTATTGCAATTTATTTCTGAAACCAACACTAAAAGTACGTACTTTTATCTCTATTGTGCACATGATAAAATTCTCACTTGAGAGGTTAACTTGCTCAAGATCATGTTACTATTAACAGGAGAACTAAGATTTGAATGATGGTTTCAAAGACCATGTTCTTTTCAGCTGCATTGTATGCTGTCAAGGAGAATTGATAAAGCCAGTGTTGGAATTCTTAATTTATTTATTTAGAATTCTTACTTTAAGGTGGAGTAAAGAAATATGTAACACCTTAACTTTATTCCTTTGGTTAATCTTGTGGGAAGTTGAAGGTAATGGATGACAGTGGTAACTTCAAGGCTGGTGACTAAGGGAAAGGGTAATGGCAAAGGAAATAAAAGGAATAAAGTTGTCATGGTCCATGATGATGTGTCTTGTGTTCTCAGGAAGACCGGAAGATAAGGCCTTCAGGATGAGGGAGGCTAGAGGAGGAAGATGACTTTTGTTTTATGTTTTCTGTATTTCAGCCCTACAGAGGGCAGACCTGACAGTGGCAATAACATGCCCCCCTAAAGGGCAAAAGTGAGGGTGTGTGGAATGTGTCTACTTCCTCTGCCTTCTCTTCTCTTACTTGGTTGACCCATAGCTTATTATATATGTGGACATGTAAAGTTCTTAGAGCTTTCTATAGCTTGCTTATACAACTAATAAAGGATAACACCAATTTCATATGCTACTTGGGAGAACCTGGATATGGGAAAATAAACTATTCTTTTTGTCCTTCCTTTGTCCAGCTTCCTTTGATACAGCCAACTGCAGTTAATATTTCCGGAAATGGTTTTGGATTTGCGGTTTGTCAGGTGTGTAATAATGGCTACTTTTGTTTAATTAAATTTGAATTTTAAAAAAAAGATTTATTTATTTATGCATATAAGAGCTGGGATATAGGTCAGAGGAGTGAGGGGTGAGAGGATTCACCAGAGACTGGGTGGGGAACAGAACAGGCAGACTGACCGAAGTACACTGCTGAGGGGAGCAGCGGGCGAGTCAGGAGATGTCTGCTGCGCCATATGGGTTGCTCCCTGGCTAGCCAGGGTATTGAATTCGTGCTGCAGAGGCTGCGGACAGCTTCATATGTTGCGCCACCAAGGAGGCCCTAAATTTGAATTTTTATAGTAATTATTTGGTTTGGGGCACTGCTTTCTTTCATTTAAATAACATATAAAAATCTTAATTTTTTTTAAATCAATTTGGCAAGATAAATGACTCTCTTTAATAAGGAAGTATTAGAGGTGTTTGTTACTAGCTAGTGAGTAGACAGCAATTATATGGACTCCTAATCTGTTCACACAAAATTTCTTGAGTATTATTTACTTTTTAAAGTCAGGATTAAAGTCCTCCAATATGATAAGAAAGTGAAAATCAAAATCAACAAAAAACTATGAACCAGAGACACTTTTTGGGGGGCGGGGGTGGGAGGGGAGGGATTGGGGTCAGAATGGGGGGCTGCAATTGTATGGGGAATATAAAAATAAAATTTATTATTTAAAAAAAAATAAAAAATAAATGCCAAATACCTAAAAAAAAAAAAAAAAGTCCTCCAATATGATTCATGAGACTTGTTGGGAACTCCCACTTTTCTTTAAATATAACTCAGAAATTGTAATGCTAGCTAGAGCTTTTACTATGACTTGGAAAATAAACAAATTTTAATTACAACTTTTTAATAGTCATCTAACAGTATAAAGGTTGACATTATTACAAGTAATTGACTTGAAGATAGAAAATGTGTCCCTTTAATATTAAATCTTATATAGAAGTAAATAAAACAATGAAATTATGATATGTTCAGTGCTCTGGTATAAAAAGAAAATCTAAAGAAACCTACTTTTTATGGTGCAGTAGGGATTAGTATAAAATACAAGTAGAATGAAAAATACTTGGTGGAATAGTTATACATAAAACATGAAAAATCATAGAAACTTTAAAACTATCATATTAGAAACCCAAAATAATGATTGTTTTGGTTACAAAAAGCAAATCCTGAAAGATTTACTGTGAAAACCAAAAATTGACTATTGTAGAGAAAAGATACATTAAAAGAAATAGCAAAACTGTTCTTATGAAGAGAACAGTTATACTTGCTGAGTAGGGCATAATTTGAAAAGTTCAAATAATTGCCAGATTTTTATGATACTTGAATCACAGTAAATGTTTTTAAAGGATCTAGGAAAAATGATCTCATTTAAAAAGAATGGTATTCAATGAAATAGAGAGGAAAAGAAAAGAGTAAATAATTTGTATGGATCTTTTCAAATAGACACCATGTGAAAATTCTCACCCCCAAGTTGTTTTACAATGCAAACAGTAAATCCAAAAATAAATACACAGGATATTTTTGATACAATTAAATAAACATATATACTTAAATCCATATTGGTTAGAATTTATTCTAGAGAAACCCGATGTAGATAAGTTACTGAAGCCAAATAATTTTGACTTGAGGTTTGAAGGACATAGGATTAAATATGGTAGCTACTGGTCAGAATGTTCACTTGTTCTGTATATCAACATGCAGAAAACAAAAAGTAGGGACCAGTAGTCAATTTTAAGTCATTGTTTCTAAGCTTTTATAACAATATTAGTTATAATGATAGTTTATTAACTAGTAAAACTAATTTTTTTGATTGAAATTTACAAATCTCATTAGGTTTATTCTGAAGGGACTCAATACCTAATACTTAGAATACATAATGATGGTAATTTATTATTAACGATTTATTGCTATTTTATTATTTATGCTCATTTGTATACCTATTGCAGCTCAATGTAATTTATAATGTGAAAGATTCAGAGAATTCTAGAAGACGAAGATCCATCCAAAATGAAGAAGCCTTTGATTTAGATGTTGCTGTAAATGATAATAAAGATGATGCCAATCATTTGAATTTGAATGTGTGTACAAGGTTGGTATCTATGTTCCTCCTCCTCCTTTTTCTCCTCGTATAACATTGATTTAGTTGTATATAATTATCTAACTATATTAGTAGATAGAGTTAGCTTTAACAAAGATTTAAGTTACATATTTCATTTTAGATCAGAAACTAGAAATACTGCTAATTATATTGAAGCATTTCTTAATGTTTCCAAACTCATTTACATTATTTATAAAAAATTTAAAGTTTGTTGAATAAAACAAATTTAGTAAAAATTTAGTAAGACTCAGTCTAGTTTATAGAAACTTTAACCATCCGTATTTAATACTCCGAAATTGATTACATCTTGCTATTTTTCTGTTAAATATTTATTTTAGGTTCATATTTAGCCATTAGTGGTATGCTTTAAGTTAGAGCCTCTAAAGAGCATTCAAGTGCAAAATATAAACTTTTAGTCTAAAAAACCATTTAATCAGTATGAAGGGAAAGGGGAAGAGGGTGGGTAAATTGGGATAGAGGGGATGATTGTATGGTGAAGGATAGAACTGGACTTTTTGTGGTGAACTTAACGTTTTGTATACATATGTTGATTTTCAATAATGCATACCTGAAAATTTCATAATGTTATAATGCAATATTACTTCAATTAAATAAAGACCTCAGTTAAAAAAAGGTTATGTAAGTTCAATAAAGAGGTAGTTTTTTCAGACAATGAAACTATTCCTTTAAATGGATCTTACCTTGCATAATTAACCACTTACAACTTCTGGGACTACTTAATAAGGTGAGTCTTAAATTCGGTCTATATTCAGAGGATCTGAGGATCGTGTTTAGTCATAAGGGAAAGTGGTTCTACCTCAGACTTACTGATGTCACAGAATTCAGATCTGTAAAACTGCCTTTTTCAGCTTTCTTGGTCATTCCAATGCACACACAAGTTTGAGGGCGATTCCTTTGGAAAGTTCTTGAATAAAGAGACTTTACAATTTCTTCCTTGTCTGTCTGTCCTCTTACCACTGCATTTATTGATGTTAAGCTGGGAGTTATTGAAAAGGTGCGATAATACTGAGGATATGCTGTCTGCTCTTTTGCAGTACCCAGTTGGTTCTGGCTGAACTTAGCTTGTTGGGGTGGAAGTCACCCAGGTAGTACTGAGTTGTCAGATGCTATTCAGGGTGTTATCTGGGTGGTCCTCCAGGTGGTCAAACTTTTTTGCAATTACCTGAACCCAATCTCCTCCATTACTGTGACCATCTATATTATCTTTGAGCTGCCTTGTTCATGATTTTGGTATAAAATGTTACATGTGTTTGTCCCATTCCATACTTCATTGGGCATTTTGGAGCAGCAGCAGGGGTATAGCAAAGTCTCTTCAACTGATAAGAAAGTAGGACTCATTTTTCCATACTAAGCTTGCAGTTGGACTGTATTTTAATTTATTTTATTTTTTTAAAGATTTATTTATTTATGCATACAAGAGTTGGGGTACAGCCCAGAGATGCAGGGGGGTGAGAGGATTCACCAGAGACAGACCGGGGAACAGAACAGACAGATTGACCAAAGTACACTGCTGAGGGGAGCAGCGGGCGAGTCAGGAGAGGTCTGCTATGCCATGTGGGTTGCTCCCTGGCCGGCCGGGGATAGAACTTGTGCTGCAGAGGCTGAGGATTGCTTCATAGTGTGGTGCTTAACCCCTTGCTCCACCAGGGAGGCCCTGGACTGCATATTAGAATAACAACAAAAGTTATTATTATTAAAGTTAACAACAGCACCTATATTTATCAAAACTTGCATGCTAGCATTGTATCATAAAGTACTTTAATGTGCATTTCATTTAATCTGTACAATAACTCTATAAAGTATGTGTTACTACTGTCTCTGCTTTTCTTATTCTTTCAACCAGTCAGTAATGATTGAGTCTCCATTATGTGCCAGATACAGATTCAGGTGTGGAAATACAATGGTGAGTCCAAAGAGGCAAGACCCTGTCTTCATGGAATTTAATGTTTGGGGGGAGATACAGAAGTTATCAAAAACAAATTCCCAAGTAAATCTAAAATTCTAGTTTTGAAAAGGGCAAAGAAGAGTCTCATGGAGCCATGAGAGAGATTTTACCTTTTAGATTTTAGTTCAGATGAAGAAACTTTTATACATGTAAGGATGCAGCCTTTCAAATCTTATTCCAATACCAGCAGTCAGGTGGGCAACAGACTTTGATAGGTAGAGAGAGTGTGCATGCATACAAACATATATATGCTTTGTAATTTGTTTATAGATATGTCTATCTGTGTCTGTCTTTTTTTGTGGGAGGACCTGGAGAAGGACAATATTTTCATGTGAGGGTAGAAATTTTATAAAAAGGATTTAGAAAAATTTGATATGAAGTACAAATAACATTTTCAGTCAGTTTTTTCAGGGGAACTCTATAAAAGATAAACTGATTTGTGGAATATGAATAACCAAAGAGAACAAACTGGCAAAGCACAGAAAAGATAATTCTTATACTCCATGGAAAATATATTGGTTACTAGAGGAAATAGGGGGAGGGAGGAGAAGATAGGGGAAGGAAGGGGATAGGACATTGGCATATGGAGGGTAAGTGAAGCATGTGCACATATGGAGGTGTGAAAATGTACCTCCAAATTACATAGCTATGTAAATTGAAATTTGAGAAAAACAAAGATAATCCAGTATTTCAGGCAGTTTATTCCCATCTGTAAGATCCAACACCTTAGTCATCTCAGACCAGTTTTTCTGAGTGACTTGGTAATTTAACAAGTTCTGTTCCTGAAAGATAGAAAGACCAGGTCTGTCAAGGCACTTTGGATGTTGTGCTGAAAGTCATGACATTTATTTGTTTTTCTTATCTGTAATTTTTGCTCAGAACCAAACACCTCTAGTTTTAATGTTCTTTCTAGTTTTCAATAGCATCTATTCTGGCTGAGTACATCTCCAAGCAGATGGTTTCGGTTGCTGAGTGTTGTAGAGCCAGCTGCAGTCAACAGTTGTACTGTGTGGCTTTTCAATCAGTCATGTTTGGCAGGCATCACTTTGCTGCTCCAAAAAGCAAGATTTTGTAACAGCCCTTCTTGCCTTTGCCATCTGAAAGGACAACAGGAAGTAGCCTGATCCTTTCACGTTGGTGACAGACTCCGTTCCATAACCACACTGGGCTTTTTCTGCTCCAAGCAAAAAGCTCTTGCCACCTATTCATTTTAGAAAAATAATTATTTTAAAGGAGGCAAATGTTGCTGGTACCAGATCCTTATGCTCACATCATGTACCACAGGGTGAGAGAACAATGCAGTGTAATAAGACTTTCTGAGTCTTGTAATGCTCTCAAGGTGGCCAAAGAAAACACTAAATATGCTCCAAGTATGTGGAAGAACAAAGAGAAGGACTCTCCCTACTGGTCTTCTTTTTCTAAAACCAGATGAAGGGAAGTTGCTAAAAACTTGGCCCCGGTCTACTACAAAGTGGTCAAGTGATGCCTCTTTCTGTTCCTGGTTTTCAGCTGCAGACTTTAGTGCTGTCAACTTTTGAGAAAATGAAAAATGCAGTTCAGTTTGAAATCACCACTGAAACCCAGAGTTGCTGTTGGAAGGGAGTCTCGGTTGTGTTGCTGCATCCTAGAAGATAATTCTGTTAAATTGCAGGCATTTCATACTGGATACAATGAACAGTGTTATATCACTCCTTGTTAGGTTGAAAAGTCTGAAGAGTTTTTCATGTGTAAGAAAAAGTTTAGCTATCTTTCCATTTTGTACAGTGATTTTTATTTCAACTTAGTAATTATTTGGAATAATGCTGGCAGTTTAAATTTTTTTGGCATTTGCAATAACTTTAGGTTTTTCTTTCATGCCTTCTTTGATATAGGTTTTTGGGCCCATCGAGGAGTGGCATGGCCCTTATGGAAGTTAACCTACTCAGTGGATTTACTGTGCCATCAGATGCAATTCCTCTGAGTGAGACAGTGAAGAAAGTGGAACATGATCATGGAAAAGTCAACCTGTATTTGGATTCTGTAAGTAGTAAAACATAATTTCATATAGGAACCACTGACAAGGCTGTTTATTGTGTCAATCTTTATGCTTATTTTAAGTCATACTTTTAGGTTTTGTTGTCCCTGAACTATTTTGTTTATTTTTTCTTCCCTTTTGGATTTTTTCTGTTTAATCTTGTATTGAAGTACCCTTATTTTACATCATTGTTACTACTTTGGGAATATAGGATCTCCCCCTTTAGGTGTAGTCACCATAGTGCACCCACCACCAAGCACCCATTGTGCCCTCTCCCTACCCTTTTCTTACCCACCCCCTCTCTCTCTGGATGCCTCACCTCTGTGGTCAGGTTTTGAAGATTGGTTTTGAAGTTTGTCTTTGTCTGACCCTTTGTTTTGTTTCTCCATATTCCACATATAAATGACACCATCTGGTATTTATCTTTCTCCTTCTAACTTATTTTGCTTAGCTTAATCCCTTTGAGCTCCATCTATATTGCTGCAAATGACATGAGTTTCTTTTTTGATCACTGGGTGGTATTCCATTGTGTATATATATCATGCCTTCTTGAACCACTCATCTGTTTTTAGGCACTTAGGTGGTTTTCATAGCTTGACTATTGTAAATAGTGCTGCAATAAACATAGCAGTGCAGGTTTCCTTTCAAATTAGTGATTTTGTATTCTTTGGATAGATATCTAGGAATGGAATTGCTGGGTCATATGGCAGATCCATTTTTAATCTTCTGACAAACCTCTATACTTTCCAGAGGGGCTTGACCAATTTATATTTCCACCGTCAGTGTAAGATGATTCCTTTTTTCCCACACTATGTCCAGCACTTGTTGTTTCTGGTCTTTTTAATATGGACCATTCTCACAGGTGTGAGGTAGTATCTCATTGTGGTTTTAATTTGCATTTCCCTGATGATAAGTGATGATAATCCTTTTTTATGTGCCTTATTGGCTATGGATAAGTCTTCTTTGGACAAGTGCCTATTTTGCTCTTTTGCTCAGTTTTTGATTGAACTATTTGTTTTCTTTTTGTTGAGTTGTATGAGTTCTTTGTAGATCTTTGGTACCAGTCTTTTGTCATGCAAATATTTTCTCCCATTTCCTGAGTGATTTTAACATGGCAGCCATAAAGACATCATTATGAAATTAGTTTAAAGAGACTTTCTATTGAAAATATCGTACCATTTTTTTAAAGATTTATGTATTTATGCATACAAGAACTGAGGTATAGGCCAGAGGTGTGGGGAGTGAGAAGATTTATCAGAGACAGAGTGGGGGGCAGAACAGGTGGAGCTATTGAAGTACACTGCTGAGAGGAGCAGAGGGTGAGAAAGGAGAGGTCTGCTGCACCCTGTGGGATAGTTCCCTAGCTAGGGATAGAACTCAGGCCACAGTGGCTGGCAAAAGCTTGATAGTGTGTGTCTTTAACCCCCATACCACCAAGGAGGCCCTCATACCATTATTTCAAAAATTCAGTATTTCAGTTTGAGAATTCCTCTTCTTTAGGGAATTGCTAAACATATTTGCTTACATACTGAATAAAAGCTTTAATTATGTATCTTAAAATACCTTCATGAAGCTTTCAATAAATCCCTAAAGGGTTAAGATTCCTTCATTGAAAGGTACTTGAATCATAGAAGAATATTCTCGGAGGTTTGGTCATTACAAATAAGCATTATATGGCCCTCTTATACTCCTCCTGTTGCTCTGTCTTAATTGCTGATCCAAAAATAATGCACATAAAATACATGAGAGAAAGGTAAGTGAACAATTCAAGGCTCTTTTTGTTATGTTTCAAAACTGCTGGCATATAAGTTTATTCTTCTAACATCTGTGTGAAAGTCATAGGTTGAATCAACATTGAGTTCTAAATGTTCTTAGGATTTCACGTTATGTGGGGGGCATACGTATGTTTCTTATTCCAATTTTTCCAAGTATGAATCAGAACCATATTATATCTACTTTCAAAATGCTAGTTCCTAAATGTTCTCATTTGTTTCAGGACTGCTTTGGTAAAATCCTGTTAAAATTAACTCAGAGTCTCTTGATTCTTTTGCTGTTCAGGAATTTTCATATATTTAATACTGGACTTTTAAAGCCTGGACTTAATTTGAATCTTGAAAAAAAAAAAGACTTTTTATTTAATAATAAATTGTTTTGCAGTTTGGAATTTGTCCTGTATCTGTGATGTTCTTGTTAATGGTCATCTTAATTTGAGTGACTCAAATATGTTTTGACTGATTAATTTGACTTTTCATTTAATACTATTCACTAATAATGGAATGTTTGAAGAATTTATCAATTTTAAATTCCTAAAGCATCAGTGTTTGCCATATGGTCACATGCTGTCCCTCCTGGAGGCAAGAAGGGCTGCCTATAGTACCCTATACCAGTAGGTTATTTGGTGTGGGGCACACTCCCTGCATGAGGGCTCCTTCACTTACTGCCTAAGGTGGCTCCCCGGAGTTGAGAGCAATTCTCTGGAGAAGGGAGCTGCTGTGTAATTGGAAGCAGCAACTTGGTGGGTGGGGGTGCCCTGCCTGAGATGGTGTGGGAGGAAGGCATGGCATCTGGGTGCTCTGGCCCCAGAGCATGCACCTTTATGCTTGCTGCTTACGTACCCTCTCCAACTCTCAGCATCTCAGTAAAATGGACATAAGAACAATACCTGTTGTTCCAGTTGTTTTACAAGTTAAATGAGATAATTTATACAAAGTACTTACTATAGCTGTTGCAGAAATAAATTCTAGCCTTTTACCCAGGCAAGGGAAGAACAAGCGACTTCAGGAATGGTGAGGTCAGGAGAAGCTTTATTACTCATGCGTGAGTTCTCAGACCTGGGCAGTCCCGTAAGGTCTGAGCACCTGTCTAGAGACAAAGGGTTTCTTTTATACACAACCATCTTACATTGATAACATTGGTTAGCAAGCACAACTATTTGCTGTAAAACTCCTAGACAAAGGGGGAAAGATGGACATTTGGGGATGTCCTTTGAGAGATAAATCAGCTTGGCCGGCTGTCCAACCTTGTTAAAATGTAACCTCTTGTAAATAAGCTAAAACTTAGATGGAAAGCTCTCTAAGGAATGATTTATCAAGTAAGCAAACCTGTTATTTACAATTGCATTGGATTATTTACTGCACCAGGCCTAAGACCCTTTCGCAGGAAAGATTTTATTTGCTTAGCAGTTCCCTTTCATAGTAAGACTATAGTTACAGTCTCATAGATTCCTAAATTTTCTTTGTTCTTCAAACTGATTAAGTAAAAGAAATATTTTATCATGAACACATATTCTGCCGCCTCCTTATGAATTTTTTGTATTTTTCAAGGTAAATGAAACCCAGTTTTGTGTTGATATTCCTGCCGTGAGAAACTTTAAAATTTCAAATACACAAGATGCTTCAGTGTCCATAGTGGATTACTATGAACCAAGTAAGTGTTTTCTGGAGTTCCTAATACTTCAGAAGTTAGGCCAGACCACTTATTCACTCATTCATTCATTGGTTTCTGGGGTGACCAGAATGTGTTGTTTGTGTATTGATGGGGGAGTTTAGGAAGTGGGGTGCAGGAGGTAAACTATCCATTTGGTTATTTTTTAAAATTAATTTATTATCTTATATTGTTGTTAATTTTTGGACAGTGTTTGATTTCTCCCCTTAGGTGTAGTCCCCGTAGTTCTCCCACCACCGTAGCACCTGTGATCCACACCATTGGTCCCTTGCACTTTTCCCCCGTTTTGACTCATCTCCCTCTCCTACCCCTGCTGTGTGCCTCAGATCTGTGGTCAACGTGCAAGTTTTGTCTTTTTCATTTTTTATTCGATTTTCTATTTTCCACGTATAAGTGAACCATCTATTAAAGTGAAGACAATTGATAACTTACAATGGTAGTACTTAGCCTATGATACTAAAAATTGATGTTTTTGCGCATAACACCTTAGGTTTTTAACTTCCGATTACAAAATTTACAAAGAAAAATTGATAGAGGGTCCAGTTATGTTCAGTTTCCAAGTTTTGCTTCTCTTCTCGCATTCCATGTGATTTCTGCTTTGAAATAGGAGTTCTTCAGGAGAGGATTTGAAAGTCATCCACACAGGTTAGCTGTTTCTTCATTGAGGGAGTCTGTTACTTGGCTAAAATATATATATCAGGGTGGTTATTTTTTTAGTGCTTCAAGGAAAATGTCTGCTTGGAAAATAACTCGAGCTTCTCTGAATTTACTGGTAACTTCCTTATAAAATGTTAGAAATTTAGGATGTGAAAGTAGTGATCACCCTAGTGGATTTAGGACTAATCTACGTTCATCAGAAAGTGACACTTTGCCAGAGTGTGATGTGTAGGTGAACATTCCTAACTGGAATATGTCTTACCCTGAGTAAGCACTTCTGGGAGCTCAGAACCTTCAGAATGTATGAGAATTGTGAATATTTTCACAGATAATGTTGCAGATAATTACACTTTAAAATAAAATGGGCTTGTTCACATTGTTGATAGTGTTTTATAGAGTGTTCATTTAAGACAAGCCAGTTTCTCTCCTCTCCTGCTGTTGGAATTGGGAACAACATTTGCCCTGGTTAAAAAAATACACCGGGGATACTTTAAGATAGTACCCCATTATCCTGCCCTGTTTTTAAATCAGATTGCACAGTTTATTTGTCTTAAGTGTTTGGAGAACATTTTAAACATTTAAGAAACAAAAAACAGTTATGTAAGTTTTTTGTGGAAAACAACTTATTTATGAGGGGGCCATTTTAAAATACAACAATGGGAAAGATCAGAATAATAGAAACAATCCATTTTGAAAATCCTAAACTTAAAAACTTATAACATTAAAATTGGCAAAAATCATGAAGAAATTTGTAAATAGAATAAAAAAGCAGAAAATAGAGAAACCATTTGTTTTGTAGTAAGTTACTCTAATGTTATAGGTGCTTTATAAAACAGAATTTAAAAAATTAGCTTGTCCTAGGGCCTCCCCGGTGGCGCAGCAGGTTGAGCACAGTGCTGTGAAGCTGTCCGCAGCCTCTGCAGCGCCGGTTTGATTCCCGGCTGGCCAGGGAGAGACCCATATGGCGCAGCAGACCTCTCCTGTCTCACCCGCTGCTCCCCTCAGCAGTGTACTTCAGTCCTTCTGCCTGTTCTGTTCCCTGCTCTGTCTCTGGTGAATTCTCTCACCCTTCTGCGCCTCTGGACTGTACCCCAGTGCTTGTATAAATAAATAAATTTTCAAAAATAATTAGCTTGTGCTATAAAATTTACTTAAGTTGAATAATTTGTAGAGACTGTGTAAAGAGCACAGTCTCTAATGCTCTCAACATTTTAAAGCTGTGTTGAGGTTCCTCAAAAAACTGAGGATCTACTATATGATCTAGTGATTCTACTCCTAGGAATCTACCCAAAGGAATAGAAGGAAACCTGCACTCCTATGTTTATTGTAACACTGTTTGCAATAACCAAGATATGGAAACAACCTAAATACTCCAAAACAGGTGAATGTATCAAGAAGATGTATACATATACAATGGCATACTGCTCAGCCTTCAAAAAAGCTAAACTCATGCAGCAACATGGATGTAGCTAAACAAAATAAGTCAGAAGGAAAAAAATATCAATGGTTTCACTCATATGTGGAATATAGAGAAATCGAACAAAGGGTCAGGGAAAAAAAGACAAAACTTGCAAACTGACCATAGATCTCAGGCATACAGCAGGGGAGGGTATGGGGTCAAAACGGAAGGGAAGAGCACAAAGGACTATGGTGAGGTGAGAAATATAGGGCTTACACCTGAGGGGAGAAATCAAATACTCTCCAAAAAAGATCAACGATATAAGAAAATAAATAAATAAATAAATAAATAAATAAATAAAACAAAATGGTGAAACAAGGTATTGCACAGGCAAATTCCTCTCCATACTTTTGTATTTTAAAATAAAGCCACAGCAACATCATTTCAGTATTGGTAATGATTAGAGCTTTATTTGAATGCATAGAAAATGTCACTGTAAAATAAACTCTGAAGAAGGTTAAACATTCCTCACTCTGAAATCTTTCCTGTTCCTGTGAGAGATGAACTTTGTGTCTGTGACTGGGATGCAGGGGCAGCTGTGACTGGGATGCAGGGGCAGCTGCAGGCTATCTTCTCTCTCACATGCTGGGCAGTTGTGGGCAGGATTTGGTTAGCACTCTGGACCCCTTGTGAGCATTTTGGTTGTTTCTTTCAGAGAAAAATACAGTCATATGAGAAAGGAAAAACATAGAAAACTGTATTGAAATGCTCTTAAGATTTGGCAAAGTGCATGTTTCTAAACAAGTTTGATGTGTAAACCCATGTCTACCTTTCTGAACAGGGAGACAAGCGGTGAGAACTTACAACTCCAATGCGAAGCTGTCTTCCTGTGACCTCTGTGGAGATGCTCACGGCTGCAGTCTTTGTGACAACACAGTTTCAGCCTCGTGCCGTCATGCTTCAGTCATTTTCATTTTTGGTTTTATGCTTCTGTTCTCTTTGCTACATGGGCGGTGATTTATTTTTTTAAGGACTCCATGTAACACATTTCCAGAAGTCACTTGTGATTGTCTTGTTTTCATAATCAAATATTGTGTCTATTTTGAAAGATTTTTTTTTTTCTTTTTATGGGATTGAGGGATGGTGGACGACAGGTCCCTGCAGCTGCAGCTGTATAGATTTCTTCATCTGACTTCTGTGTGGGACAAGAATCAAAATTACTATAGTTGTATTCCTTATTTCACCCTCAAAATGTTTTAGGATTTTTTGGTAAGTTTATTTTCTTCAGAATAAATGTGTTATTTTAGATTATTCTCTTTATTTTCTAGAACAAATGAGCCAAGGTTCTTAAGCATTATTATATACCAGTGTTTGTTTTAGTATTCAAGATGGATTTCCTGGAAACCAAGAAAAAATAACTAGAAAGAGGAGCTTGTTCTGTTCCCTTCACATCCACTTTAACCCCACTGTCCATTGGAGTCCATCCTAGTGGTTAGTGTATCCTTCTTGACTGGATATTCTTTCTTTCCAGAATGTAGGGGGTGATCTTTTTTTTTTAATGTAAAAGGTGTTTTTTCACTCCAAATATAACCACATACTCCAACTTTTCCCTTCTTTTTTTTCTTCTGGAGAGAAGGAATATATTTTTCTGTGCTTTGTGTGCAGGTTCAGAGACTGAGGAGTGAACTGAAAATTGCCTGAAGAGGTCTTGGGTGCTGTTCTCCTCACTTCTTCAGCAGCACATGCTGGCTCTGTTGCAGGGGTGAGAGTCAGAGAGTAGTTACCTGACTAGAATAGATAATCTTAAATGAGGAGACATACATTTTTTTTTAATAATGGGGTACAATAAGCTAGGGCTACCACAGAATTCTGTATAAGATACGGCATACTGAGCTCACTGTGTCTGGGACACAGTTTAGGGCTTGACAGGGATCAGAGTCTTGACATGACTGCCCAGCTCAAGTATTATAGGGCATTGCCCAAGATCCTGCCAGCGCCCTTCAAATTTCATGTCTCTGAGCATCAGACTGCCGGTTTCTGGTAAGCAATCCAATGCTTGCTGTCACTCTTTCTGAAGATTCTTGAATTTGGAGCACCCGGATCATTGGTTACCCGGTGTTCTGTGGGATAATATTTACCTGCATGAAAAATTTTAAAGAAAAATTCCTTCTTCCCTCTCCTTCCTTTTTTCCCTTTTAACTATATTAAAGAGCTTTATCTATATGTACACACACACACACACACACACACACACACACAATTAAATATCTTTTACCCAATCTTAAATCTTATAAATGGATTAATTTTGTTTCTTAACTCTGGTTTATCTCTCAAGTGGACAGGAAAGAACTAATTCCCATGGACTCCAAAAAATACGTTACAGTATGTAAATATATCTATTAAAGTTAATTTTTAAAGGAATGTTTTTATTTTAGTGACTTTTAACAAATTATAGTGTAGATGTCCATATATGGATATTTTGGATACCAAGGTAGAAATAATGAACATTTATAATTTTAAAATTTGAAACCTATTTGTAGAAAATAGATTCTCAGAGAAAAAGAACAGTCAAATATCAAATAATTTTCTTTTATTTATTTTTGAGTGGGAAAAGTTTTTAGCTTTGTTACATTTTGAAACAATCTGATCTAAAAAAGAGACTTGTTATGTTGAATCTTCCTGTATGATATTTTCACTATAGAGATGAAATTATTTTACAGTGAAGTTGGTGGGAGGGTATTGACAAAACTACCTCCCTCCCAGGTCCAGGGAACTTTATAATAAACCATCAATCCCTGATAGTCTATAGTAAGTCATTTGTACTGAACTTCTTGCGTACAATATTCAGAAACACTAGAATAGGCAGACTGTTGGAAAACAGGTTGAATCTTTTTTAGACCATATCTCTTCATTTGAAAACTAGAACTCTAATACCTTCTTTTGAAATAATTCAGATTTCCGTTTAAAAAGTTACCCTTGAATCATAACATCTTTTTTTTATTATAAACTTAGTGAAATTGAGGGAGAGGAGGATGAAGAGGAGGAGAAAGTGTTACTTAAAACTGTTTCATGGTGCACAGGCTTTGGCCAGACTTGCCTTCTTTCTCCTTCATATTTCTCTTGGAGAAAATACTCTGCTTCAAGCAGTGTATTTGCATTAAGTGTTAGAATGCCTTAGGCATAAGGAGAAAAGGGCATTATTGTTAGTAATAATTAACAGTGTAGACTATTTTCTTCACATACTATGGGTCATCTTTTAAAACTCATTTTACCTTTACAGGTACTTACGCTGACACTCTTCTGTTTAGAATGTTTTCAGTTTTGGTTAGCAATATCAACTAATTTAAAATCTCCCACCTTTTCCGCAGATTGGGAGCCTTATTAAGACACTAGCATATCTGACTTTCATTTTTACTGGCCATGGTTCTAGAGATTGAATGTGGGAATAACTATTAGCCAAACAATTCAAGAACAGAAAAATGCATTTAATATATTTGGTTTCATTATCTGACTACCTGCAGTGATAGTTCTAAGAAAGAAATTCAAGCCTATTAAAATATGTCCAGTCAATAAAATGCTTCTTTTTATTGTATTGTTCTATTATACTTCATATTTTTCAAAATATTCTAATAATAGTATTTTTGGTTTGGCATTTTGGTTATATTATAATTTGAGGAACATTGTGCTAATATAGAACCAGATAGGCATCTATTACTTAATAGTTCATTACATATGCAATATCGTGGGAATTTTTCAGAACTGCAGATGTTTTTGAACTTGCTGTTCCTAATCTTTGGGAGTTGAATATTTTAAGGTTATATTTAGGCCTAACTTCCATTTGTTAAATATAGTTGTAGCATGGCAATATGATACCAATTAGTTTTATTTTGACAAAATTCAATAATTTCAATCTGGCTGTCTTATGACATTAAAAATATTGAAACTATTTTTTCTTTGTCATTTTTTAAAGGAGACATTTTATTAACCTGCTGGCATATAATCTGGAGTTCTTTGTAACAGCCTTACATGTTCTAATTTGCATTATTGAAGTTTAATATTGATTACTATAAAAATATATTGTAAATACCTTCTTGACAATGTCTCTTAATATAAGGAGAGTGCTTATTTTGAGTTTGCCAAATGGCTATGAGGGGTCCAGATGCCACTATATAATTTGGGATACATAATTTTCTTTCATATTGTAAATTTTGAGGATAGTAAGTAGACTCACTGTAGGATAAGCTTCAGGCCTATTATACTCTCAGTAGAAGTCTCTGTTAGGAGAGTATATTCCTATTTTTCTTTGGCATGGCACTTTTAAGAATTTAAGCATTTCCTATCGCCCATTCACTATTTATGTTAATTTTAAATATTTTAAGTTGCACGGGGAGTCATTCGAGGTGCAATTTTCATCACTACTTTGAATAGAGGACTGTTATCCTACATTCTTCAGGAAACTAAGCAATACATATATTTTAAATTAAGTATATATTAGTGAGAGTAGACTTGTTTCAAAAGTGTAACTAGCCAATAAGTTGAGTCTTCATGTGCCTTATCAAAGACAGTGCCACTTGTCATCATTCCATAAAATACTGTCACTTTCATTTCAATTATTGTAACATAGAAATTATTTCCTAGATAATTTCTGAGTTTCTTATGTTATAGGACCCTTGTACATTGGTATGTGTGTGTCTCTGTAATAAGGATAATATTGATATATGTTGCTACATATTTGAAAATAATTCTATCTTGTTATTGTGAGACCACTATTTATGACTCTTCTGTCCAGTGTATTGAATCAGTAGAAGTGGTTCCGTGTTCCAGTTATGCATCTTTAAGATTTAGTTTTGATAGCGTTAGTAGAATATGACTTTACTCTGGTCCTTCAAGCCTGTATGCTTTGGGTTTTAATGAGGTGCAGTTGATGTGGCAGATTCAGTCTTTAGTACATAGGAAAATTTATAAAAAATTTTATGCCTAAATCTGCTATTTGGAGAAGTTGTATTGCATATGAGAAGAATAATGTTGAAATAAAGCATTTTCTGAACGTTAGAATGTTAAAATTTTGTTAATTATACTCTATCACATATTCAAAAGAAAATCATGGTTTGCCAATAAAAATTAAAATTCATGTCTTTACCATTGTTTTTATTTTAACTTAAAACATGTGCATAGCACTTCTCATACACCTAAACCTGTTTATGAGAAATGGGATCTGTGAGTAAACATCATTGTATTTCTAAGTTTGAGATGAATGAGGTTAAGTGACTTAAGGTGAATGAGGTTAAATGACTTAAGATGAATTAGGTTAAGTGTCCCTCCTCATTCTCTGTCTAAGCTGTTGGGGTAGGTGCAAGTGGGGAGGTAAGTAATATACAAATAAAAAATGAAGTGAGGGCTCACTCACCTTCTGGAAATTATATAGAAATACAGAATGCATAGTCTGTGTATACACATAGGAAAATGCAGGCAAGCATTTTTGCATTCACAGTGTAGCACTCAGCCACCAAGTTTTTTTTTTTTTTTTTTTTTTTTTAACTCTTCTGTCATGAATTTTTTGCAGATCTGTGAAATGCAAAAGATAGTATATTAGTTTTCAGTTGAGGACTATTTGACTTTGGGGACATTTGAGAATTTCTGGAGACAGTTTTCATTGTCACAAGTGGAGACAGTGGTACTGGTACCTGGTATCTATTATGTAGAGGTCAGGGATGTTGGTAAATATCCTGCAATAAACAGGACAGCCCAATACAACCAAGAATTATCTGGACCAGAATACCAACAGTAGTGAGGTTGAGAAGCCCTCTAGCTAGGTGACTTGGGAACTTGTAGATCACCTAGTAATGTAAATTAACTTAATACCATCCTTATACAATAACAGAATCATTCAAATGGACAGACATTTTTGTTGAAGTAACATCACATAACATTATCTCAGTCTCAGGTGTGCATTATAGAGCATTGGCATGTGTATGCAATATTAAGTTCACTGCTAAATGTGGACAGATATTTAGATTAACAAGTCTGTATCTCAACACTAGGAAACTTGGGTTGGATTTCTCATGATAACTATTTTTTGAAAATGTCTATATGGTAGTTTCTACACTTTAATCATTAGATTCCACTATAGAACTTGGTTTAAATGGGAATGCTATAGTGACTATACCCAAAGGGTAAATCCTACTGACAAAGCAGGCTAGGATATGGAACAATACTTCAATAAATAATGCAAACTCTTGGCTTCACCTCTAGAAATCTTAGTTCAGCAGGTATAGGATTAGGTTCTAAATCTTATTGTGAAGCTTCCAGGAAATGACTGGAATATGTACTGGTATTCATGCCTTTATGGATTCTCATTGAATGTGAGTATGATCTTGACCAGACTTGCTTGTAGCCAGTAGACTATGGCATAGGAGACAGGATACGTAGGATCACAGCACCTCTCTTGCTGGGTCTTCCTGACTTTTCTGACTTTGAAGTCCTAAGCTTTCATGATGTGGGCTGCCCATGTTGAGAGATACATGAAGCAAGGCACTGAGAGCAGTTTTGGGGATGAAGTGCAGCCTATAGCTGTCAACCTGCAAGACAATGAAGTCCCTACACCTGTAGGGACCCCATTCCTACCGGCAAAAGTGGATCCTTTTCTAGTTGAGCCCAGTAGAGCTCCCAGGCCCAGCTGATTTCCTCATTATGGTCACATGAGACCCTAAATAGAAAACCCAGCTGAGTACTCTTGATGCACAGAAACTGGAGATCATAAATGTGTGTTGTTTGAAACCAAGTTTGTGGTATTTGTTACACAGAAATAGAAAATAAAAAAATGAATTCTGTTACATGCAGCTTTTTCTAACCGTTATACCTAGTGTTGCCATCTTTTCTGTAGTTATGTGGCCTGAAAACACTTTCACATTAGCCCTGGTCACTGGGCTAGAGAGGAGCTGTGTTATCTGGAGAGCTCACCTCTGATTTCCACACAAAGCTACACTGAAGTGGAGAGATTTTCTGTCCCTGACTCCAGTAATGCTATGGCGCATCTCTTGGGTAGAGTGGGACTGATAGGCCTTGGTGCTTATAGAGTGTTCAGTGGAAACTTCCTTCACTTTCTCTTTGCAGTTTCTCATTTCTCCAAAATCCCAAAGCAAACTAGGATTAAAGCAAAATCCTAAAGCAAATTAGCCCTCCCTGACAGTTTCACAAGACATTCATCTATCAATGCTATGGTTGATAGTGTGGGCTCTGGTGCAAGGTAGGCCTGGGTTTGAATCATGTCCCCACCTCTAGTCAAAGGGGACAGCCTTTTCATCTGTGTATATATGTTTAAGATGGAATTTTCCCTAAATGTTCTTAGATTCTCTTAACTCTCGCCACCTTAAAGAAGATAGAATGGGGCCTCCCTGGAGGTGCAGTGGGTTGAGTGCAGCGCTGTGAAGCTGTCTGCAGACTTTGCAGCCTGGGTTCAACTCCTGGCTATCCAGGGAGAGACCCACATGGTGAGGCAGACCTCTCCTGTCTTGCCTGCTGTTCCCCTCAGCAGTGTGTTTTAGTCAGTCTGCCTGTTCTGCTCCCTGCTCTGTCTCTGGTGAATTCTCTCACCCTCCCGCGCCTCTGGCCTGTACCCCAGTTCTTGTATAAATAAATAAACCTTCAAAAAAATAAATTTAAATAATAAAAAAAAGAAGACAATGCCTTTTTGAATTGTCAGGAAGAGTCAACTGGCAACAGAGGCTGCATCTCCTGTTCCTCTGACATCCTCTTTGGTTGCTGGCCCAAGTGCTGCCTGGGATGGGTAAGGAAATCTGGCCAGGAGTGGCCTTCAGGGGGCAAGTTCACTGGGTTCTCATATTGGGCTGCATTTTCCTAATTAACCTTTATCATGAATATAGCAACTATTTGGTTCCTTCATCTGCTGACCTTTGTATACCAGCTGGGGATGAAGTACTTATTGCACCCCCTCAAAGATCCCTGATACTTCTACATAGAATGTGATTTGGGGCCTCCCTGGTGGTACAAGGGATTAAGTACTATGAAGCTAACTAGTTAAGCACTATGAAGCTAACCACAGCCTCTGCAGCATGAGTTCCATCCTTGGCAAGGGAGCTGCCCACATGGTGCAGCAGACCTCTCCTGTCTTACCCTCTGCTCTCCTTAGCAGTGTGTTTCCGTTGATCTGCCCGTTCTGCTCCCCACTCTGTCTCTGGTGAATCTTCTCACCCTCCGCACCTCTGGTCTGCACCCCAGCTCTTGTATGCATAAATAAATAAATCTTTTTTTAAAAAAGAATGTGATTGGGCAGGTTTTGCAATATCTGGAATATAGTAGTTTTCTATGAAGTAGGTGCTTTTTTTTTTTTTAATAATAAATTTTATTTTTATATTCCCCATACAATTGCAGCCCCCCCATTCTGACCCCAATCCCTCCCCTCCCACCCCCGCCCCCCTAAAAGTGTCTCTGGTTCGTAGCTTTTTGTTGATTTTGCTTTTCACTTTCTTATAGTTATTCGTTTTCCTGTTCCCTTATTTAAGTTATCTAGATTCCTGCTATGAGTGAGACCATCCGGTATTTTTCTTTTTCTTTTGGCTTATTTCGCTGAGCATGATCCCTTCCAGCGCCATCCATGTTGCTGCAAATTGCATGTGTTTATCTTTTTTGAATGCTGAGTAATATTCCATGGTATATATGTACCACATCTTCTTGATCCAGTCATCTATTTTTGGGCATTTGGGCTGTTTCCAAAGCTTAGCTATTGTAAACAGTGCTGCTATAAACATAGGGGTGCAGGTGTTCTTTGGAATGGATGTTTCTGTGTCCTTTGGGTAAATACCTAGGAGTGGAATTGCTGGATCATATGGAAGCTCTATGTTTAGTAGGTCCAGAAATCTCCACACAGCTCTCCACAGTGGTTGGACCAGTTTGCACTCCCACCAACAGTGCAGAAGAGTTCCTTTTTCTCCACACACTCGCCAACATTTGTTGTTGCTAGTTTTTTTAATATGTGCCATTCTCACTGGTGTAAGATGGTATCTCATGGTAGTTTGATTTGCATTTCCCTGATGGCAAGTGATGTTGAACATTTTTTCATATGCCTGTTGGCCATTTGCATTTCCTCTTCAGAGAAGTTTCTTTTTAGCTCTTCTGCCCATTTTTTGACTGGATTCTTTTCTTTGTTGTTGTTAAGTCTGATCAGCTCTTTGCAGATTTTTGTGATCAGTCCTTTATCATTAGTGTTGGGTGCAAAAATATTCTCCCAGTTGGTGGGGTTTCTCTTTGTTTTTGTTATTGTCTCTTTTGCTGTGCAGAAGCTCTTTAATTTGATGTAGTCCCAGCTGTTTATCTTCGCCTTCACTATCACTGCTTTGGGTGATGTGTCTGTAAAGATGTCTTTGATGTGCAAATCACGTAGTGTTTCGCCTATATTTCCTTCTATATATTTTATGGTTTCAGGTCTTATGTCTAGTTCTTTAATCCATTTTGAGTTGATTTTTGTGTATGGTGTGAGGTAGTGGTCAAGCTTCATTCTTTTGCATGTAGCGACCCAGTTTTCCCAGCACCATTTATTGAACAAACTTTCTTTGCTCCAATGCATAGTCTTTGCTCCTTTGTCAAAGATTAGTTGACCATAAATCTGTGGGTTTATTTCTGGATTTTCTATTCGATTCCATTGGTCTGTATGTCTGTTCTTGTTCCAATACCATGCAGTTTTGATGATTATGGCTTTGTAGTATAGTTTGAAGTCTGGGAGTGTGATGCCTCCATTCCCTTCTTTTTTTTTCAGGAGAGCTTTGGCTATTTGGGGTTTTTTGTGATTCCATATGAATTTCATCAATAATTGTTCTATTTCTTTGAAGAATGACATTGAAATTTTTATTGGAATAGCATTGAATCTGTATATTGCTTTTGGAAGGATGGCCATTTTAATAATGTTTATTCTTCCAATCCATGAGCAGGGGATGTCTTTCCATTTCTTTGTGTCTTCTTCTATTTCTTTTAACAGTGTTTTATAGTTTTCTTTGAATAGGTCCTTTTCCTCTTTTGTTAGATTTATTCCCAAATATTTGATTTTTTTTTGTTTCAATAAAAAAAGGGATGGTTTTTTGATTTCTTCTTCTTCAGATTTATTGTTGTGTATA